TAAGTTGCAATTACAAAATTGAAAATTCATGCCAATTACTTTAATCAAAACATACATCGATGCACTACGATTTGGGACAGTGTGCAAATTAGTTGAGAAAAAATGATGTGCAATTCTTTCGACAAAAATGTTTCCCCAGAGGCATGATCAAATCGATATTATATTAATTAATATGCAGTGCTATTTACTAAATTAATATTTTTAAACATGCATAAGTTCATATGATTTTAGCATTGGTCCAGTAATAAATGTACAAAAGAAATTTTTGGCAAATGTTATTCTCTCCTCTTTGTTTAAGCAAACTTTACAGCCAAATTTGAAAAATAAGCCATGAGGAATTTTCATTTAAATAAGCCAAATGTCAGAAAAAGAAGCCATATTTGGCTCTAAATATTAAGTTAAATTGGCAATCTTGATCAACCATACTTTTTGCATTTACACATTGTTTGTAATATAACATCAATATAAGTTTGAAAAAAACATCAATATAATATGTTTTGTCATAAGAAACATTAATAAAAGCATAAGGATGTTACTGTAAGCAATCAGAAGGCAATAGTATATTTGGTGTAAACTTCTTATTTCACTTTTGTCTTTCTTGCCATCTTCATCGAAAGGTTGTAGCTAACAGCAAAGGTAATACAGGAAAAAAATTGATGGAAACATTAAATGCTGACTAGTTTGAGTATGAGGATGATGGCCAAGTGATGAATTTATTTTGCTGTAAAGTTTGCTCAAACAAAGAGGAGAGAATAACATTTGCAAAAAATTTCTTTTGTACATTTATTACTGGATCAATGCTAAAATCATATGAACTTATGCATGTTTAAAAATATTAATTTAGTAAATAGCACTGCATATTAATTAATATAATATCGATTTGATCATGCCTCTGGGGAAACATTTTTGTCGAAAGAATTGCACATCATTTTTTCTCAACTAATTTGCACACTGTCCCAAATCGTAGTGCATCGATGTATGTTTTATTAAAGTAATTGGCATGAATTTTCAATTTTGTAATTACAACTTAGATTTTGTTAAATTTTTGGGATTTGTGAGACCATGCAGCTAGGTTGCAGACTGTAGAGAGGTATAGCCTCTCACCACTAATATAGCAATCCCACAAGTTTGTTCATACTATGTAAATAATTTGGTGTTCCTGAAACTTACTTTAGTTGCACTGCGCTTCCAGCCCCTATATTTGCTGGCTGTTAAGCTACTGCCTCCTGCTCTTCTCCATGGACATGCAATTTTATTGGGTATAAATCAGCATTTCCTTATATAAATTATATTCTCGTGCCATTCTGCCCTTCTCTCGCCTGCCTTGCGTTACTTTTGAACAGGCTTTGTGGTCACTGGACTTTCATGTATTTTACTGCCAACAGGCCAAGTTGTAAAAAAATCACAAACCATTTTTGAAATTATTTTAGAACAGCTTATACTATATACTATATAAATAACACTCTAACATCAGGAATTGCAGTTGCATAAAAAAGTGCATTCTTTTTAAATGTTAATTACAGAAATACATGAATGGGCAAAATGGTGCAATCTTTTTTACTAAATAGTTCATTGTTGTTTACGATATTTGACCTTATGTTGGTTAAATGTTTGCAACTAAACTATATGGAAATTGTATCAAAAAACAGGATTTTAAAGTGCCAATGACTCAAAGTTTTAATTGTTTTTTATTAAACTTCTCTTAAAACTGCAATGGAGTTTTTTTCAACATTATTGACTGCATTTTTTTCAACACTAATGACTTACTCTTGGAACTTGTGAAGTTTTTGTAAAACATAAATTAGAGAATTTGTGGTCAGTTGCTTTTTAATCAATATTACATATCTTACAACTCTATTAATTTCCACTGTTATACTATTGTTATGGGCGTAATCACAAATATGATGTGAAAAAAAGTTTGTTTATTATAAGCAACATTGAATCTTGAATATGGTAATCATAATAGACTCGCCATAAATTCTCAAAATTACATCTCACAAAGACTTCACTAGTATCAAAAGTAGGTATGCAAGCACTTATGTTGTAAGGAAAGTTTTATTAAAGTTTTGAGAGAACTTTTAATTTGAAGCAAAATTCATGTTATGGACTCTTTTAACTTATTGAAATGTTGTTCAAGTACTTGAATTTTGCAGTCATGTGTATATTAGCAATTTTGGTGATTGTTATTGTCTGTTTTATCCATAATCATTGCACATGATTTTTTTATAATTTTCAAATACTTCTAGCTCGCAACTACAGTGCTGAAGCTGCCCCAGAAAAAATTGATGTCTTCATAGATGATCAAAAGGTTTTGGTGGATCCTGGGACAACCATTCTCCACGTGCAGATTTATCAACATTAAAGCAACCTTTGTCCCAACAAAATTTTCAAGAACTTGTAAGGCTTGGAACTACGGAACGCGCGGAGAAAGGCTGGAACGCTTAAGGAAGGAGTGAGCTCCAGATGAATGGCTCTAGTAGACGCACACGTAAACAACAGAATATACACTTTTGTTGGATTATCCGACAAATTATTCCTTTCGCAACTCTCTCGTACGAACAACAGTACGGCAAAGTCCAAACCTACGTTTGTGAAAGGGAGATTATCCGAAACTCTGCTAACAGGAAGATCTGGAGGAGGCGTTCCCTCATAAGGAAGACCTTCAGCTTTACGACAAACAACAGATTTCCTGACGATTTTCTTTACTGCTTCTCGACCACGGATTATCCAAAAATGCTCTCTAATGGTTGTTAGTGTATCACGAATCCCGCTGTGCTTCACATTGTTGTGAACCTTGCATATTAATAATTTCACAAATCTTGATTCCTTTGGAAGCAATACAGGATTTTTGCTCTCCAGATTCAGCGATGAATTCTTCAATCACCCATGGCACCGCAGCACGTGATCACCGTCGAGAAATAGCCCAAATTGCTTAACATAAATAGCTATTGAAGAATTCGCATTCTTTGACAGAACGAATAATATTTCTTTTTCAAAGGATAGTTGTTGAATAGACCTTCTCCATAGCAGCTGCGCCTCCCTTATTTCGTCTGAGCTTAGCTCTTCTGAGGTTGTGAGTTTGTTTGTTGTTCGCTCGCACCGTGGCATCTTCGTTAACATGTTGATGAATCTCATTACGCAAGCAGTTATTCGAAGAAGTTTCTTCATGGAGCTATAACGAGTAATGTCGATTGCTTTGTTAAGATCTGGCATGGCTCGCTGTTCGATTTCATTCGAAACTAGTGACCTCACGACATTCGGATGCTCTTTCACAATTTCCCTCAGAACTTCGTCACTTTGTGAGAGGTTGCTAACTGGACGTTCTGGCCACTCTTCTTCGAGCCTCGCCAAGAATTTGGGCCCATTAAACCATAAGGAAGAATTCGAAAGTAGTTGCCCAGAAATACCTCGTGAGGGTAAATCTGCAGGATTAAGTGATTCAGGACAAAAGTTCCAAGATTCCGTCAACGAAATACTTCGAATCTTGTTCACTAGATGCTGCACGAATGGTTTCCATGATCGATCGTTTCGTATCCACTGAAGTGCTGTCATCGAGTCAACCCAATAAAAAACTTCCAGACTCCACTTGAGTGCCTTTAACAAAGACTCTACTAACTTCGCTAGTACAGTCGCTGCCACCAGCTCTAAACGGGGAATCGTTTGCTTTTTCACTGGTGCGACCTTTGTCTTTGAAGCAATTAATTTCACGTCGAGGGTACCATTCTCATAGACTGTTCTTACATAGACAACAGCACCAATTTCACTTTCGGATGCATCACTGAATCCATGAACTTGTGTAGTAAAGTATTTCGGTTGGGGTGGATAATAGCACCTCGGTACACGAACATCTTTTAGAAACCTTAACTCTGACAATAAAATGTTCCACTGCTCACGTAGATTGCCATAAAGTTCACAGTCCCATCCTAGTCTATCCAAGCACATGATTTGAAACAGAATCTTGAGCCTTATCATAAAAGGAGACAAGAATCCAAGGGGATCGAAGATTTTAGATGACCATTTCAACAGCGATCGCTTTGTGACAGGTAAAGAATTGGCGTACTCAATTATTTCAGTCAAATTGAACAAAAATGTGTCCTCACCCGTATCCCACACCATTCCTAGTACCTTGACTTGAGTGGGTTCCGTGAGCAGGGACTCTTCTGCAATTGTCGACTTTGTAAAGGACTGATGATCTTGAGTAACACTTAACTTGTCACTAATCAAGCTCAAATTCTTGCTACCTTCTAACGCTTCGATAGACTTCACTACGTTACTAGAATTCGAGTTCCATTTTCGCAAGTTGAATCCACCCTTGGCCATCAACTGCTTTGTTCCCTTGTATATTTGCAAAGCGGTTTCATTGGTTTTACCACCGGACTTAAAATCATCGACAGTAGAATTATCAAGGCAGTCGGCTGCTAAAATGAGGCTGTTCAGAGTATGTCCGTCTGATTTTTGTGATGACCATCCACACAAAAGCCATCCCAATTTGCTGCTCATCGCTGTTGGACCATTTTCTCCTCGTACGACATCACCTGTGACTACGTCCCAATAATGATCAGCTCCTATCAAGATTTCGATCTAATCACAGCTACCATTGTCATCAGAAGAATCAAAGTCTGCAAGCTCTAAACCATGGAGATGTGGATATTCGTCTATATTTATCCTTGTAGGAAGTGGTGCACATATTGTTGGAAATGCGATTGCTTTAATCTCTACTGCCTCACCTCCACTCTTATTTGCAATGCTCACCTTGAACACTTCGCAGCTTTCTCGTTTACTCTTGCTTTGGCCAAAGGTATTTAATTGAAGTGTCTCCTTACCAACTGAATTTAACCTTAACCGGCCCTGGGCAGACAGAGCTAATTGGTTGGGATATATGTCGCATATAAACTCTTAGTTGTAAGACATAGATAAATAATAAAGAACATAGTTCTCTCACAATTCAACTACGGGTCAAAACTTCCGGTGTTGTACAGAAGAAGAGAAAATGACTGTGCACTAACATGACGTCACAAAACCACAAATGTTTGCGTGATATCAGTTATTATACTAGATACGTGAACAACTAAATTACATAATAAGTAAGTACATAAAAAGTAGCTATTAGTTTACGAATAGTAGCTATGTCGTCTATTCAATGTCACTGCCCACTTCTGAGAACTCTTCGATGTTTTCATCTTCAGTATCGGATTCCTCATACGTTGAGCTTTCAGATTCATTGGGAATGTTGACATCATAGGTTAAGTTTACAACCTCAGCCTGGAGAAGAAACGTTTCTTTAAGTGGAAGTTCAAAACTTTTCTTCAAGCTGAATAACTCATTCCGCAATTTGGTTTTAAGTCTCATCAGTTCATGCTTTGAACCAAGCATGAATTAATCGCTGCTCAAATCACCAAGATCAGCAAATGCTTCCTCAATTTTTGAGCTAAGATTGGTGTAATACAATAGAAGCCTTTCTCTTTCCAAGTTTACAAGTTTCTCTTCCTCGTCACATCGTTATAGGGTTAAGTACATTTCAATAGCTTTCCTCTTTGTGTATACTGGGACCGAGGATTCCCCTAGAATGTCATCCTCACCAAACTCAAATCCCTCATAAAGGTCTGATGTAGGATCTTTCGTTTTGTCAAATGTCAGACGATCGAATAAACTGTTTATAAAATCAGGAAGAGAATCCAATGGCAGCATTGTGTTTCTCAATTGTTAATTTCATCTTGTTCGTGACCCTCTAAACAAGTAAAAAGAATACAAAATTAACATTCACAAGAACAACAAAAGACAGATATGGTAACATAGCTTAGGTTACAGGTATCCGAAATTTACAGTGCATTACAGTACCTGCATACTTCTTTCTCGATGTTATTAAGAAATGCCTTTCTATGGAAAGTCCATGTAAAGCTCCGATAGTATCTTTTCGTTTTCTTTGTATGGCTTGCAATGCAAAGACGTCAAAACTAGGATGACCAGGTTTCCATCTTTCTTTTACAGAATGCTTTCGTTCAATATCTTGTAAAATCTTTTGAAACCTGTTTACATAAATTTTGAAAATCTTTTGAAACCTGTTTACAAAATATTTCTTTGACACATTTATACATACTGGTACAGTTTTTTCGACATCTGATGAATTGAGTAATCTTCAGAGTTATCTCATGGTTTTCTTCAAAACATCCGAATGATGTAGCACTAAGAATTTAAATAATTCACCAATTAGGCTCAAATAAAAAAATTAAAACGTCAAGAGGCATGTATTATAGAGAAATAGCCAGTTTAGTACATTAAAGAACCTACCTAAGATGTTTAAAATGCAGTAGTTTTTGAACATACGTCACTTTCCAGTTCTCCGTGGTTTCTTTATGTTCTGTATTTAAAAAGTATGTCTTTATATCTTACAGACTGAATTGTTAAGAATGAAACTATTTCCCATGAATAACATTATATACCTGGGTTGACTCTTGACATAATTTCCTTCTCTCTGGCCTCCCACTAACAAACAATTTCAGGATCGTACGTCACTAACAAACAAAATAAATACGTATGTAACTATATATGCTACAGGTTTTGTATTTTCCCATACAATAAAAAAATTTCGTTTTTTAGTAGGGTATTTTGTAAAAACGAGTAGGCTATTTTGAAGTACAATCAATACTAATAAATCTTTATCTTTTCATAACAGATTTTAAATTCGATGAAGAAGCCTTTACTAAATAACAACATATTTTCCTTGGATGCAAATTGAGTTGAGAGTTTGGTTAGGCAAAAAGAAACCTTAAATACTTTTCGGCCACAGAAAACATAAGAAATTTCTAACCTACCAGAACTACTTACCAGGTAGTTCGCTAAATAAATCCTTCATTTGTTGTTGCGTTTTTATTTTAAGTTGTAGACTTTTTTTAAGCTTCGACGTTAATGATTTTCCAGTAACAAATCATATACAGAAAATTAAAATAATTAAGGCGCAACAAACAAATAAAAACATTTTCATTGTCAACACATAGTTACACATAGAGCAATGACAATATTCAAGCACCTGCATTGCTAAAATTTCTTCGAGATAAGTGAAGAAGCGCGTCTGTCAAAAGATCTACTCTTCTACTGGCAGACATCTCCTTAGTAATTGCTGAGAGCACACGAGGGTAAGCCCAGAGCATTTCAAGAGCCTTACCATCTGTAAGACCAAAACCATCGAGCCTTCTAGGACTGAACTTGACCTGTTTTTTTGAAGACATTAAAAAATAATATTTTACCTACGGGGGCTTTTTATCAAGAAAGAAACCAGAGCAGAAAAGATTGTCTATCTTCAATCGCTACATCATTACCCAGGGATGTATTTTTCTGGAGGGAGGGGGTGCTCTAGTTTGGATAAGATTCTGGTGGCTGCTTGTTGCCGTAACATGCCTAACATTTTTCGTTAAATTTTGTTACTTATATACAATGATAGGAGATTTTTTAAATTGTGCTCCATAAACCCCAATTACGATCGCTTGATGGTTTGGTATGCCTAAATTTTTTAGGGAAACTGCCACTCATCATCCATCTCCACTAATCAAGGTTGGAGGAGAGCACATTCCTCCGCTATCCCGAAAAAGAAGAGCACTTGATGTTTCATTGAGCATCGGCACCAAATATGGCGCATCGGAAAGGCTGTGTCAATTAGCAGGAGTCGCACAAGAAGGGTAATGAAAGGGTGGAGTTTGTGCATGTTGTAATTTAATAGTCCTTTGAAATCAATTGTGGTTGTGGATTAATACGGATTAAAAATCACGAATATATGAATGTGCCCCCCCCCCCTTCCAATTATCGATATTGCCCTTAACGTAACATGCATCAAACGAGAACAAAAGATTCGTAAACTAAAACATATTGGGTACAAAAGTTAACTTGGTCGTTGCCGACAATTAAGTAACAATTTATCAGCTTTGTCAATACGCTATTTGTTAAAACTGAAGGGCAAAGCTGCAATAATGTGCTTAAGACTATAATTAGTACATTCATCCTAAATCAACCAAGGAACCTAGCTTAATTTAAAATGCAAGGTTTTGGTTGACTTCAGTAAATCTTCTATCAACATTCGCCGCTGAATTCTCCCCTACAGTTGCTTGGTGATTGCCACGTTCCAAATGCTTTCGAAAGCAATCTGTACTAGGTGGCGACTGATGTGAGTCAGCTTCTTCCTTTTTTGCCCAAAATTTGGCGTAAAGAAATTGGTTGATATCTGTGGCTTCTTTTTGAAATCAGATAAACATGCCCCTACCTCAGTTCATGCCCAAACAAAGTTCATCTAAAGCAATCTGTCATGCACGTTGCACAATATATTCATAAGTTTTATTTTCGTTTCAAATGTTAATAACAACCCCACCCCTTTATAAAAATCCCAAAAGTGGCAATCACGTAAAAGGCACGCGATACACAGCACCAAATGTTTATCACACTCCCGACGTTGATCATATTGATCAATTTATTTCCACGAGTTTTTACTATTTGACTGTCGCAATAGGTCTCCAATCACGGCTGCAGTTCTTCGTTGTCGGGTTTTCATAGAGTTTTTGTCTTTAGACTCAATTCCACTAGTGGTTTTCGGAGCCACGGCATTTGCTGGAGGCATATTCAACTCATGTGGTATCAGTTGTTGTATTGGACGACGTAGTTCTGACGATAGAGCCTTTGTAGTACTCGCAACACAGACCTTTGCTGCTCGAACAACACCATTCTTACTTACTATGAGCTCGGTAACTCTTGCCAATATCCACAAAATTCGAGGGGAAAGATCATTTTTTAACACAACAACATCACCGACAGCTATCTTCTCCTTCTCTGCTCCATGAAGTAAGCGTGAAGTCTCTCTAACACTTAAAAGACATTCTGTTCTCCAGCGATTGATAAACTGATCTAACAAACGTTTCTGATATTTCGCTGTTCTGGTTAGAGTTCGTACTGATGATTTCAAATTGTCGATCACTAGCCGTAAGAGTAAGTTGCCGTCCGTAAATTCATTGAGATGGAGTCAGAGGGTAAGAAATTCCTTCTTGCTTTCTTGATTTCTTGATAAACCTTAAAATTTGTGCTCTGACACGAAGTAGTTTGTTCTTCGTACCATATCTGTCTTGGTCAGTAATCTTCTCCAAGTGGATGGAATTACGGTCAGGAAGCGATGTTAACGTCAAGGAATGTGTTATTGGAAGAGGATTTTGTATTATCTCTGTGTAGATGGGTCCTCATCCAATTTTGTAGATTGAAGATCTTCGGGCAATTTGTCTTCAGTATCTTGGAGAAACTGCGGACCATTCCACCAGATTCCAGATTGCACAAGTTCACTTCCGGAACACCCACGAGAAGGCAAGTCGGCAGAGTTTATTACCCCAGGGCAGTGTCTCCATTTATAACTACTAGTTAACTTTCTGATTTCGTTTACGCGTTTCTGTACATACGACTTCCACAGTTTATGATTTTGAATCCAACACAATGTGGGAAATGAATCTGTCCAAATGATAATATCAGTGATACATTTTATTGAAGTCAACGCTTTCACAATCGAATCGACTAATCTTGCTAAGGTAGTTGCGCCTAACAATTCAAGTCGTGGTATGGTCTGTCGTTTGATAAGAGCGACTCTTGTCTTCGCTGTTATTAAATTCACTTCAATTTCACCGTTTTTATGTTCCGTTTGTAGATATACAACTGCTGCAAAGGCAAATTCTGATGCATCGCAAAACAGTGGCGTGCGGTGACCGAATTTAATAGGCAAGCGCTGACAGTGATTCCACAATGCATTCAGTCATGTTGTACAGGTGTCGTGAAAATACCGAATGTAGAAGTAGAACATAAAAGGATGAAAATTCCTATGCTATATATTTTATAGGAACATCAATCTTATTTATACCTTACATCAGTTACATGATATCTACCGGATACAAATATCAAAACTACTACGCAAAAGGAAGCTCTTGTCAATATCATAATCTTGTATTACATGCTACAGATAATATCTTCTACATACATAAATTGCAAGACAATAGGCGCGAAATGTATTGTAGCAGTCGTGATTATAACAATTAAGAACAGCCAGTTTCACAAAATTGGCACGGTGTGTTACAAACTGAGGCCATGGCGTTGTTTAATGTTTATATTTTGGTATAATGACGTCATGGCAACGTGTTCTCCCGTTCTTCAAAATGTGTCTGGCACTGACTCGTACGTATCAGAATATCGGAGAGTCGTGTTTATTATTTAGTATCTTGTACCTTTTATTTTTAGTCATTAATTTACGAATTCAACGACACAAGACTGACAAGAGCATAGTGTTTTGGTCATAATGCTAGTCATACTTTACCACAACACACGTTTGCGTGCATTTCGATATCTCTGCAGACTGCGGCCCCTGCTTGTTTACGCACATTGTGCGCAGAAAATAATAAAATAACCAGTAAAGCACCTACTACTTTGAATTAGAAATCAGAACATTACCTTTCGCTCTCAGTCATCTTTTAATAAACGATAACATTAACGGCGTGAATAATTCGGATGTCCAATGTGTTGAATATACGAATATTATTCGTGCGCTGATATGTGTTTAAAATTGCGAGCGTACAAGACTGTTGACCAATCGCTATCAAGCGGCGCCCTTAGAAGCGCCGCTTGCCTTTTCTCGATATTCCTCGAATAAGAAGCCTCCAAATCTAGATTAACGCATGCGCAAATGTTCAAATTGAGCTCCGAAGGCAAGCGCGCTTGCCTTGGTTAATAAATATTCGGTGTATTTAATCCACTTGACTCATCTTACAAGTGTAGCAAAGTGAAACCGAAAACCACGACAGTAAATCGCGTATAAATAGCAAGCATTTCAACTGTAAAGACAATTTAGACAAAAGATTAAATTGACATTGTTTAGAACAGAAAAATTTAAACTGATTTTGCTCAGAGATTGATCCAAAAAATTTTTGTTCGGTAAAATGCTTAGGCAAGCGGCGCTTGCCTACGCTTGCATGACCGCACGCCACTGTCGCAAAATCCATGTATCTGATAAATTGGAGATGAATTGTATCCACCATGGAAGTAACAACGCGGTACTCGTATGTCTCTTAGGTTGTGGCTCTGTATGAGGCGAAGGAGTTTTTACTAACTTGTCTTCCACCATCGTACTTGGTATATGTTTAACATATGATGACCCCTTTTCATTCCCATTTCCCACCTCTACAAACAGTCGATTTTAATCATTCGCGATAACATTTCGGACATGTTGCGAGTTTGAATGCCATTTTCGAAGCTTGAATCCTCCCTCGCTCATTTATTTTCGATAGATCTATGATAGATGTATAGAGCTTCGTCCTCATTAGAAGCTCCACCAGCGAAATCATCAACATATAACGACTCGTTACATGTTTGTAAATGATGATCGTCCAGGTTGGTATTGTCCTGAGAAGGACTGTTTTTATTGTTGTTGACTGACGTTTCGACAACCTTAGTGGTAGTCATCTTCAGAGTCAAATGAGGAGTAAACGTCAGGTTATAACAACTATAACTCTGACTTTATCAAACGCAACACTTTCAAACCCAAGGAACATAACGAAACAAACAACTCAGTGACAACAGCAACGATACTTTACATCAAAGGTACGTCTGAGACTATCTCGCGTATCTTACGACCATACAACATACGAGTCGCACATAAACCAATCAAAACGTTACGGCAAGTACTAACAAACATAAAGGACAAAGAACGACCCAACGAACGACAAGGTGCAGTTTACAAAATAAACTGCTCCGACTGTCACGCCTCCTATATCGGGGAAACTGGCAGGAACTTAAACATAAGACTTACTGAACACAAACGAGCTACTAAGAAACAAGACAAAACTAATCACATTGCCGAACATCACCGAATCACAAAGCACAACATTGACTGGGACTCGGCAAAATGCATTACAGTACTGACTATAGACAAGGGCATACATTAGAAAGTTGGTATACCAACTTGGAACAAACCCCCCTGAACAGATCACAGCAATTACCGGCACCTTACAAACGACTTATTCACAATACAAACAAACGATCAACTAAAAACATTACTCTTCACACTAATTCACAATGACAATACACAATTGACACCCACACATTACAGCTAGAACATCACACCTACATCACACTTCACAACTAAAAACATTTCACTTCACACTAATAGACCTTTTCAAGGTTATCGCAACCATATTGCAAGGGGTGCAAAAACATTGGGCCGAGCGCGCGGTCACGCATGGCGTCCATATAAATTACTAATATATGCGCAAAAATTACCCTTATACATATTGGCCATTTCTTTCAAATATGTTTCTCAAACTCGTCCATTTTAATAGTCGAATTATTATTTGCGATTTTTTATACACGTGAGTCCAATTTTGTGGTAATCAAAAAGCGGAAAGTTAAAG